AAGGTCTGAAAGTCTATTTTCACTTTCATTCAAATGGTTTTGCCAGCTTGTGATTGAGGTTTTAATTTCCTGTATATCTCTTTGAATCTGCTTCATGCATTCTATTTCTTTCCTATATTGCTCATTCAAATATTTGATCATTTTATATTCTCCTCTATTTTTTTAACCAGTGTCTTCTTTAGAATCACTTAGTAGTTCTTTCATTATAGTTATCCTTTCTTCCTTTACTTCAGAGGTTCTTTCTGATCTGATTTTCTCTATACCTTTCTGCAGTTGTTTCTTTACTTCAGATGCTATTATTTCAGAGATTTCAGGTGTGTGATTTCCAGTTTCTTCTTTGCTGGTGTTTCCTGCGTTTGTTCTAGGTGGACGCAGGGCCTGAGAATGCATTTTGTTCCTTCTCTTTGTCATTATGTAAAGCACTATCCTCTGACCTTTGGTGTAGAGCTTTAGTTCAGTTAGCATCTACTGATACTATTACCCAAGAGAGATTATGTGGTTAAGGCAGTTACAGTTTTGTATTTACCGAACTGCAATTAGCAACACTAATAATGGAGTAGTGAGATGTAGCAGTTGACCAACTTTTGTAACTAATGGGTTTGTATTTTAGACCATAAGAGCAAACATTTGACTGCATAGCTAAGCATATATTAAATTGTGAATTTGTATTGAAATTATTTCCCCTAAGTTTTGTCTGATCTCCCCTTGATATACCTGGAGTCTTCCAGGCAAACTAGTTCACCTCAGTTACCTGTTGCCCCCTCTCTTGATCAAGAGAGAAAGAGGGAGGATGCTCTCATAGATCTGGATTTAGCAATGTGTCTCAGCTTACGGGGCCTGGATCTACCAAGTTTGAACTCATCCAGGTGGGTCTGGCTTGGGTCTGACTGCTGTGCTCAGCTTCTTCCTGATGTATCCCATGCAAGTGGACCTGCTATGGCCCTCTGGCAAGATGTTCTGCTCCTGGATTAGCTGGTTGGGTCTTCCCCCAGCCTCTCTGCAGTGAGTTCTGGCACAGGGTTCCACACCAGGCCTGTCTGATGGAGGAAGTTCTGGTGGGATGGTGGGCGAGCAGCGGTCTGACACACACACCTGGGGCCTGGGCGCTGGTCAGAAGTCTTGTTTGTTTTTCATAATATTATCAGGAACATATGTGTACTCTTAGAGCATTTATGCCTTTTATATAAAGAACAAATGTTCTTCCTCTGATTTACAATGCCTGTGTTCTTCTATATTAGCAATAATATGGCCTGCCAGAATTTGAAGTTATGAATTTTCTGAAACAATTGTGTTCCTACACATTTTCCTGTGTTATTTTCTAGCTTTTATAGCATGTTTTTTCATCAAATGATAGCATAGATCCTTGGATTGTAGATTAGATTTCAAAACTACTCAGTTTTTCTAATTTAATCATTTTTCTGTTTTATGTTTATGTCATAGTTTTACAACTTTGCCTAAAATTAATATTGCTGTCCCTGGGATTTTTTGTGGATTGAGTTTGGCATGTTTGATATAGATTTTTATTTTTAACTCATTTTAATCATTATTTTCTTTTTTTGGTAAGCAGCCTACAGTGCCTACATTTATGATGAAGCACTATTAAATGATGCTTAATTTGTACATTTAGACTATTCAAATTTGTGGTCTGAAATGTTTGGTTTGCACTCCTCTTATTTTATTGTTTGCATTTTTTTTTTTTTGCTTTTTTTGCTATTTTTAATTTATGTTTTCTCTATGAGTGGCCTGTCTTACTTTTTCTTCCAATGACTGAGAGGTACCCTAGAGCCTCAATTAAAAAAAATAACTTCACATCTATATTAATTTTCACTTTACTATTAATAAAATAATCTTTTTGGCATTTCTATATGTTATCTTCATTTTTAACCAGAATAGCACTAAATTTCTAGCGTATATTAGTTTTGTCATCAGCAATACTTTTAGATAACAATGTTGTATAAAATCTTGAGTTTTAAAGCACACATTAAAGTTATGGTTAACTTTAAAAAAAAAAAAAAAAAAATTTTGAGGTCACAGTTGATTTTCTTTAACTTTAAAAAAAATTATGTATTTTGTACAGGGTCACACTATGCAGGTTGGACTTGTGGTGATCCTCCTGTTTTCAGCCTCTCCAGAGCTGGGATTATAGGTGTGTGCCACAGAGCCTGGACAAGGTTGCTGGCTCAATGGTCCTGGGGGTGGGCGCACAGCATGCAGGACCAGAGATTGAACTCTGGCCCCCTGCACTTGCCAAAGGAGGTGCTTAGCCTGTTCCTTTAACTCTCTCTTGGTACATGTTTGCAGCACACCATGTTCTCATTCCTTGTGTGGAGTTGGTTCACATAGATAACCCAGCTCCATTCCTTCTTTCACGCCCTTTCCCTCCTGTCCTCCTCCATCCAGCTCTTTCCCCTCCTTTGTGAAAGATGTAGCTCTCTACTTTTTGTTACCTTTTATTTTGTTCTCATTCATAATTTGGGTCTCTCACATAAGAGAAACCCGTATTTGGGTGATATTTAAGCTTGGGCTTCTGATATATTGCATTTAACATTATGGTCTCAAGTTGCGTTCATTTTTCTTAAAATGATTTAAACTTATTCTTTGAGACAGAATAGTACTTCATTCTCTGCAAATATCATTTTCTTTATCCATTAATCTGTTGATGAATGTATCACTCTCTCCATCTCCAAATCTATCTCCATCTCCAAATCTAAATGTAAATCTATATCTATATCTATAATGATATCTATCTCATCCGAGATTTAGCGATTACGAATTGTGCTGCTATAAACATGGGTATTCATGTATCGCTGTAATATGTGATGTATTTAATTCTTTGGCATAAAGAATTCTTCTAACTCTAGAGGAATAACTGGGTCAAATGGAATTTCTAGTTTTAGTTTTCTGTTGAACTCTATTCTGATTTCCACAGTGGTTGTACCAGTTCACATTCTCATCAACAAAGCAGGGGGCCCGCTTTCCCCCCACAGCCTCTCCAGCATTTGCTATTATTTGATTTCTTTTATTTTTTTCATGAATTAAGTGTTGTCTTTAATTTAAAAGCTAACACATGTCCAGTAACATTTCTTCCCCAAACCCCAAACTTGGTAGTTACTGAGTCTCTAGGCAACACACTCAAAGCTGAGATTAAAAATTTAAAAACAAATCAAGTCCTCAGGTCCAACTAAGGGAGTCCTGCTACATGCAGGCTAATCTACACCAGTGATACTGCTTGACTCTAGGAGGCTGGAAGACATTCTGGACAACCTCATTTGGAACTGTTACTTCAAGTAAACTTTTTCCAGTTTCCAACTTCTGAATAAAGACAGTATTTTGTTAATTCTATTGCAGAAAACTTCTTCAAGTTGTTTTATTTACAATACCAACTTTGAAAAGCTCACTAAAGTTAACTGGACAATAACCTATGCAGAAATCGCTTTACAAAAAGAGGGAAAACTCAAAATGTCATCTTACTACAGAGAACCCACAGTTCAGTTTTATTCAGAGTAAAGAAACCCAGCAACTTTTGCTCAGACTAGAAGAAATTCAGCCATTGGTTTGGAATCTGTAACTCAAACTACACATGTAATGAGGACAATATTATGCTAATAAAATTGTTTTGCTGCTGCATTTGTCTGTTTGTCTAATATTAACAATTACAACACAGCAGTGCACTAGTATTTGTCTTTTTAAAAAAAATTATTTATTTATTTATTTCTGTGTGTGTATGTGTGTGGCCAGCTCAGCCCACCAGGGGGCAGGGCTGGCTGGCATGTGGTGCTGGGGGATTGAACCGTGGTCCCTGTGCTTTGCTAAGCTTATTCTAAGTAGGTGCTTTAGACCACTGAGCCATCTCACCAGCCCCAGTGTACTAGTATTTGGAACAATCCTTATAGTGTTACAGTGTCAGGCACAACATTTCACTTCTCTTCACACCACTGGTTCTTGCATACCTGAGCTTCCTCCTCTTCAGTAAAGTTATTTTTGATATTTTGATCCTTGCAAAGTCTTGGAAGGATCCCCCCTAGCCCAGGCCCGGTGAGTGTGTGGGAGAGCTTCCAGCTACCCTGTGCTGGCTGGACCTGCAGGTCTAAGCCCAGACTCAGTGTGAGTGAGACCCTCTTTCACCCCCTTGGGAACCCCCACCACCACTCCGCAGCACCCCACCCTATCCTGCCTACCCAGTGAGAATTTCTGCCACATTCTGGGGACCCCCAGATCCAGTCCTAGCCCAGGCCCGGTGAGTGTGTGGGAGAGCTTACTCTCTCCTCTACTCCAGCTTGTCCCCTCCAGACTCAGCTCAGGCCTGGAACACAGGTCTGGGGTGCAACCCTGCAACTGCAATCCCTGCAGAAAGAGTAGGTGACAGAACAACCCAGCTAGTTCAGGAGCAGAACATCTTGCCAGAGGGGCATAACAGGTTCACTCCCACGGGTGGCAACAGGAAGGAGCTGAGCACAGAAGCCAGACCTAAGCCAGGCACAGCTGGATAAATCGAAACTTTGTAGATCTGCACTTGAACTTCAGTAGGTGCTAAGGTTATGACTGCACCAAAGCTCTACAGCAAAGGTCAGAAGACAGTGCTACACAAAATGCCAATGAGAAGGAGCAAAATGCAATCTCAGAACCCACACCCACCCATAACAAGTGCAGAGGACACTAACACAGAATAAATTGGGAATCACACAGCTGAAATCAATGAATCAATGGCTTCTGAAATAAAGAAATAGCTGTAGAAAGGAATAGAGGAACTCGGATTGGAAATGAAAAAAGAAATCCCTGAATTAATAACATCTGCAGTAAAGAATCAAATGCAGAAACATATGGAGGAAACCCAACGCCCACCCAGAAAAAGTGCAGAGGACACTAGCTCAGCTCACATGTATGAATTAATAGTATCGATAGTAAATAAGCAAGAGCAGAAAATTATAGAGGAATTCAGAGAGGAATTCTTTTCTACTAGCTCAGCTCAAATATATGAATTAATAGCGTCAATAGTAAATAAGCAAGAGCAGAAAGCTATAGAGGAATTCAGAGTGGAATTTTCTGAAATAAAAAAAGAATTCTCAGAACTCATAGCATCTGAAGTAAAGAATAAACTACAGAAACATAGGGAGGAAACCCACTATGAAAAAACACTGCAGTAAAAGAATTAATAACTGCTTCTAAAGAAGACATTGATTAAAAAAATAGAGATTAGAAAAATGACAGATTCCTTGCATGAGCAATACTGGAAAGAAATAGAGTGCATGAAGCAGAGTCAAGGAGATATAGAAGAACTTAAAATCTCAATCACAAGCTTGCAAAACCATTTAAATGAAAGTGAAGACAG